TAGGCTTGAGCTACAACTCCCACGCTCAAGCGGATCAATAATATACAAAGGGTTCGCTCGAGCGTGACTTTGGTCGCTCGAGCGGAGCGCTCATGCCTGCAAAAATACTAAGGGCTCGCATTCTCCGCTCGAGCGCAGGTTTCCTCGCTCGAGCGGACTGTGAAATTCTGGGTTTCCAAAAACAGAGTTCTGAGCTTCAAAATGCAATTCAATGGCTACACTCATGCACAGCTTGATCAAAACACTTGGAAAACTTTTCTAAAACACACATATATGATCATTTTCAAACCTTTAGCTCAAGACTCATGGATTTAGCAAATTTGAACTTTAAAGCTCATGCATGAAAGATTTTCAAACTATTTTCTTGATTTCTTCAAAACATGCAAATGGTTGGTATGAATCCATGAATTTCCAAAACATTATGCAAGACATGAACTCACATGCTTGCAATGACTTCAAAACTCTAACTCAAACTGATGGAACCAAAAGGTTAATCTCCAAGGATGCACATGCAAGACATCTACAAGGCCAAAGACCCACTTCTCTTGCTAATTTCATGAAAATGGTTCAAAGATGTGTTGAAATCGTGATGCATGGAAGTTAGCTGCAGAAAATATGCTCAAGACCTAGAGCTTTGATTTCAAACAATAAGAGATGGACTTCCCTTAGCTCTCTTCTTCTCCGTCAAACCACACAAATGTAGAGCTTTCTCTCTCTAGAGTGAGCTATCCCTCTCTCTCTCTCTCTCTAAGGTGAACTCTCTGCTAAAAAAAGTAGAAAGTACAAGAAGAATGTTGCCTACATTCCCTCACATTTCAGCAGCTATACACAACACTCACACACCCTCACATCCGAATGAATAACACGTGCACACACATGCACTACTCCAACACACTCACAAGAATTTATCCTCTACACTCAACACCATCACATGCCTCGGCACAACATACACTTAATCACATCTTGAATCATGAATAAGAGTAGATTGGGCATAAATCAGGCATCATCTTATTAAACACAAGTAACCTAAATTAATTATGGTTAGCACATGACTCAGTTAACCCCAAACTGTTCTAATTAAGGCTTAATTCAATCACATGTGATTTTATTGAACTGAATCATTCTTTTAATTAAACTCACTATAGTGTTCTAAAAATTCTAATTAGTCCAACCATGCGGTCAATTCCCATTTCTGACATCAATCGAGCCATCAAATTAATATTCTAAGCGGAAATTGCAACAGATATTACTATGATTAACAGATAGAAAATCGAATAGCATGCAAAAATACAAAATTAACATATAATTATTTTAATCACTTGATTAGTGCCCTTAATCACGGATTAGTAATTAATCATGGATCGGGGTTGTTACAATATCCTCGTGGGAACTGAACCCATTCGACCCAATTAGGGAAAGGGTGTCCAGAAATTTGATTTCTTTCAATAATCAAATTTTGATGGGCTTCAAAACCCTCATCTTTCAAAGAGACTGTTACTTTTGCCTGATGTTCCGCTTCCCTTCCAGCTTCAATTTTTGCTTTCTCATCATCACCTGGATTGCGAATGATATGTATTTCTCGCTATTCAAAATTTACGTCCACAGTGATGACATTACAAGGAAAGTCAAAGTGGTCACTTGATACACTTTCACCATCGTATGTCCTGGCTGGGGATGTGTATGGTGAACCATCAGGAGAAAAGTCAAGTTCCCAATTTTCATTAGGATCCTTATCTTGAGATGATTTTGCTTGTTTACTTGAATGCTTCCATACTTCATCATCTGACATACACTTGCCATTCACCTCATTATCCTTGAAGTGTAGTCGTTTTTTCGCCTTTTTCACAAGCTTAGAGTCGGACCTACACACGGTGTCTCCTTGTTCTGCTCCGCTTACATATTCTGGAGTGCTTTGATAGTACATTGGTCGTACTGGCGAATATTTTGGAGAAAAAGCATCTGTTGTGTACTCCGGAGAAGGTGGTGTATACTCTGGTGAGGCTGGTGTGTATTCTGGAGAAGTTGGTGTATACTCTGGTGAGTCAGGTATGCAGATAAGAGATGTAAAGCAATCTCCTTCCCTAACTTTTGAACCAACTTCACCCTCATCTTCCTCATCATCACTCAAAACAATGATGGTCAGGCAAGGGGCCAAAGTAAACTTTTCCTCCCTTCTTTTATCAAAGTATGTCAGCAACTCCACAGATTGAAATTTTGAAGGTAGAAATTCCTCCAATGTGACTGGGACAAGAGGACCTTGCTCTAACTGCTCATCAAGGACCAATTTCTCCCATTTTTCTTTCTTTGGGTTCTTTTTTCCTTTTTTCTTACTTATTTTGGCTTTTTTCTGTTTCCTAGAAACTTTTGGTTTTTGCTTTTTGGAAACTTTTGGCCCTTGTGTTGTTGAATCAACCACACTACTAGCTTTCACTTTGGCATTTTGTCTTTTCTTCATGCTTTTTGACTGATAAACAACCCATTCACCTTCATTATCATTGTCGATAGTGATTGGGTTAGCAGATGCTTTCTCTTGAGGAGGGAGCTCGATAATCTTAGAGTCCCAAAGTTCCTGAATTTTATCTTTCAGAACAAAGCACTCTTTTATCGGATGGCTAATCAAACGATAGTAGGGGTAATACTTTGGATCGTTGGTCTTTCCTACCTTATTTGGTCTTTTCACCTCAAGGAGAGCAATCAACTTTTGCTCCAACAGATCTTCAAATAGGTCTTCGACCAGATCATCCATGAAAGAATATTTCTTCTCCAACCTCTCTTTCATAGTCACCTTTTTAAATTCTTTGGGCTTTTTAGCCCCTACTACAATGGGACCCTTCTTTCTGGTTTCAATTGTAGCTGCAGTCGAGGAGACAACCCTTTCAACGGCCCTAGGCCTCCTTCGTTTAGCTAGATGCAGCTCCATATCATGAGCTTTAGCGCATAGATCATTGAATCCTTCAAAAGTTTGAGTCATAAGAGCCGTAGAGAGCTCATGTCAGAAGTTGTTAAGGCACATCCGAATTAACTCTAATTATGTAAACTTTTGAGGACAAACAAATGTCAAAGCGTGCCATCTTGCAATGAAATCTATAACAGACTCATTGTTACGTTGCTTGGTCTCAATCAGTTTTGGTACTCCAACTCGCCTTTGTGTGTTGCAGAACTGTTTAAGGAACTCATTCACCATGGAATCCCAATTTAGGATTGATCCCTCAGGAAGGTTAACATACCAAGTAAATGCAGGACTTTCAAGTGACTGAAAAAATAGCTGCAGACACAGGCCCTCATTCTGGGCTATTGGTCCGCACCTTGAAACAAAATGAGCCACATGTTGTCTTGGGTCTCCTGTTCCATCAAACATTTTGAAATCTGGTTGGGAAAAACTAGAAGGGAATGGAACAGCATCTACCCATGCTGGGTAAGGTTTTATAATTATTCGATAGTTCTCATTATCTTTTTCTTTGACTTTCTTTACTTGTCTCCTCACCATATCATTAATCATGGCCATGAGCATTGGATTCATACCACCACTGGTCAGATCAGAGTAACAAGGACCATTGCCCCCTGGGGCTAGTGTACTTTGTATGCCTATAGATGTCCCCACAACAGGTTGTGTCATTTGTTTGGGTGCACTTCCTGGTCCTATCATTTGGGCCTACAACTATTGCATTTGCTCCAACATAGCAGCCATTTCCCGTTCTCTTCTCTCAAGTTGTTCTTGTAGGGCCACCACTTTTTCCTTGAGACCTTGGTCTTGTTAGACCTACGAATTTTCACATTCTTTCTCAACCTCGGTCATCATAACTGCGACTTTGTTGATATCTTTCAATTCATTGTTTCCAATATTCGTTGAAACAAACGAGATAGAATCATCTTGTTCGTACAAAGGATTATCAAACCCCACAACATTACTCATATTTGCAGTATCTGACAGCGATGCTTTTTTTTGAGCCTAACGGGCTATGGACCTTGTTATAGGCCCTTTTCTTATTCCCTCCATAGATAGTTCAATCAAAGTAGAAATATTTCCCAAGGGTTGCTTACCCTCTTCCACCTTGAATTTTCTAACAAAGACAGGACTTTCAATTTGTTTTTGGGGTTCATCTTTTGAGAGAGCCCTTTCAATAGCTCCTATAACATTTGTTGCCACTGTTCTTAGTTCCAGTTTCTTTAAGGCCTTATTTCTTCTTCGCCTTTGTCTTTTCAAAACTAGACCGGATGACATATCAAATTGAGCCCCTAGGAACCGTTTGCGTTTTTGCAAACTCCTCATGAATTTTCAAAACAATCCCTATATTTTTAGAGCGAACCAATTGATGTTGATTCAAATCTCGTTGGGCCAACAGGTGTTCCTTATTCGATCCTTGTCGGGCCAACGGATGTTCCTTATTTTGTCGGGCCAACGAGTATTCCGTATTCGAACCCTGTCGAGCCAAAGAGTGTTCCTTTGGCTCTTGAGAGTTGACTGAGATTTTGTTTGACCGATTTTGTGCTCTGAACAGAACTATCGGTTCATAGGCCGCAACTATTTTTTCAACAACAGGGGCCTTTTTTCCATCAACAGGAGTTTGGGTCATTACCCTCCTCCCAATGGCCCTAATAATGGCCATGTTTTCAGCAGATGCTTTCTTCTGGGCAAACTCCACCATTTTAATGAAGTCTTCTACCCTTTTGAGTAGTTGGGCCACAACATTTTTTGTTGCCCCCGTTGAAGCTGCAACAAAAGTCATAGTCACAAACTGATTAGCCTCCTTTGCTCGAATTAGAAAGCTCTTCGTTCGGGCTGTGGCCCTCACAGTTGTGTACTGCTTCGACGCTTTCACGTAATCTTCAGTAATCTTTCTCAAACTTTCAGCTTTCTGGAGAAGTGTGACTTTCTTCGTCACACTAGTTACCTTCAGGACAGCCAAGAGCTTTCGCTCCAGAGCCCCTTGGGTGATAGGGTAAAGAAGTGTATCTTTCCAGGATTTCGTTGGTTCTACCTTTGGGACAACCAAGGGCATTCACTCCGGAGCCCCTTGGGTGATGGGTGCTATCTCCACCCTTGGTGATTTCAGAACCACTGGAGTATAGGTTTGTCTCTTGACAGTTGCTTCAGCATTCCTATAACAAAAGAATACTTCAGTAAGTTTCAACTATATATATATATATATATATATTTTGTTCTTCAAAAGATGGAAGGAGAAATAAGTCCCACTGGGCATGCCAGAATTTGTAGACACAAATTTTAAAACATGAAGTGTTTCAACACATTTCAAAATTTTATGTTACAAATGTCCACTGTTTAGTTTTTGGACTAAACAGTGTTGATTATTTGAATAGCAGGTTCTTATTTCCAATTTGTATTTCAGATCTTTAATTACACATTTTATACAAATGAAACCTCCGATTAATGAAGAACAAAATAAACAACAAAAGACAATTTAAAAAAAATAAATATTTTATTGAAATTGTTATGGGCTTTGAACCCTCGAATATAAAATACAATTCTTGGGTTTGGAACCCTTTACCTATTCATCGCCATTAGCGTAGGCTCTTGAGTTCTCTAGGCTTCTCTTCTTCTTTCTTGTAGCGACTTCTTTAGCTCTCAATTTCTTTCTCTCTCTCTATGATCTTTTCACTTCTAATTTTCTTCATCTCCTATCTTGTGTGATGGTCCTCATATTTATGAAGGGCCATCAGGTGATAGGAATGCTTCATCTTCAATTTGAATTTCAAATTGAATGATAGCGCCATTTGAATTTTAAATAATAGCGCTATCTGATTAACCGGATTGATCTTTGGGGTTTCACCTTGTGTAGTGTCCTTACTGTAGGCTCTACAGGTGTCATCTTTCGTAGGCTCCACGTGTCACTTGAGCATCTTGAATAACGTCGTTGAGATACAACGTCGTTTTATTTATGCACTTCAACCGATCACATTGATCTTTTTAGGAAGTGATTACCGACAGCTGTTGTACCAGTTCAGAAACAGTCATACCAAGGTGCGGTTCGCATTCAAAAGCAGCCATACCAAGCTGGTTCTATGTTTGGGTAGCCTTTCCAAACATTTTCCCAATTCAGTTCTCAATTAGTGGTGGTCAAAGTGGTTTTTTTGGATATGGACAACACCACAGAACAGAAAAGGGCTCTGTTTCAGATCACAATCAGTCCATTTTCAGAGTTTTGGGAGCTGAAAATAAGTCCCAAAGTGGGGACTTTGAATGCTTCAAGTCTGGGGAAGTTGACCGTAAATCCTTGGATTGTGATGAAGATTGTATTTTTGTAGACATTGGATGTGATGTTGTAAAAGAAGTGATGGAGCAAAATTGGGATGATGGTATTCCAATGTTTGACACTCGTGAGGAAATTGAAGAGGACGATGAAGGCATTGTTTTGATCAAGGTTTTTCTCATGCCCAAAGAAGATAGACAGTTTCCCTTGCTTTTCAAAGAGGAAACAGTTGTAACCAACCACTTTCTACTATTTTTCTAGCTTCAACGAAAGTTGAAGAAGAAAGCCATGAACTTGGATTTACTTTGGATGTGTTTCCAAAGATGAATGAAGCTAATTTTGAAGGTTTACCACCTGTTGTGGGACAAACAGGTCAGTATGTTGATCATTGTTGACAAGAGGTGTCTCCTGGGTTACCCTTAGACCAAGATATTCGATCTTGTGTTCAGGTTTTCCCTCAGGTTGTCTTTTGAGTTATCTCTGAAGCAAGACAATCTACTTTATGTTGATTTCGTATTCGGACCAACTTTGTTTCCTATAGTTTCTTGTTGGATGTTACCAGCTAGGGTTACAAACAAACCAAGTTGTTCTTGAACAATTTGAGCTCGGCTCATTTAGAGCTTATTTGAGCACAGCTTGTTTATTAAATGAACAAACTCAAGCTCAATTTTTAGGCTCATTTATTAATCATGCCAAGCTCGAGTAGTCCCAAACTTGGCCCAATAAGGCTTGTGAACATAAAGGAAACAAATTAATATTTACTTTTAATGATATATTTTATTTTTCTATTTGTATTTGGTATTTATGTAAATTTACATATTTGATTGATGAAATTTGTTATTAATATAAGGATTCTTGTATATTTTTTTCATAATTTTCTATTTTTGTATCTTAATAAGTAAATTAATTTAAGTTCAACTTTTTTTTTCAAGATCAAGTTCAAGCTCAAACACGGCTCGTTTATGTACTCGAACCGAGCTCGAATTTATCAAATATTTGACGAGCCAAGCTTGAGCTCGACTAATTTTTAATAAACAAGCCTAAACACTAAAAAACTCAGCTCACCTCAGCTCAGCTTGTTTACAGCCCTATGACCAATAGCAGGCGATGAAGTCACAATCCATCTTGAAGATTTCATGGATGAAGGCTACATTTAAGAAATGAGCTATTTTGATGACAACTTATTTGATAGGAGGCATGCTAAATGGGTGGCTTCTCCACACCTAACCATGGTTGCATGGATGTGCATAAACGAGAACTCATTTTCACTTTCAACCCCATTGTCTTATTCACCATTGCAAGTCCATAAGTGTCATTGTTTTGTATCATTTTGTTGATGTGGTTTTGAGTGATTTTTGTTGAGAACAAGCTGTTTTCTTTAGAGGGGGAGTCGGATGTAGTAATAGTTAGAGTGGTAGTTATGTTTTTAGGTTGCTTAGTTAGCATTAGCCTATTAATAAGCGGTTAGAGTCTTTAGGACATAATTTTGATGCAATTTTATTCATAATTTGGTTTCATCACATCTGAATGCCTATCAGAATGGGGAGCAGTACAAAGTATCTCATTTAATAAAAACAAACAGACGCGAGCACACACACAAGCAGAATAAGAAGAAACAATTCCTGCAAAGAAACCTAACCCACTAACAAAATTCAATTGGCAGATAAGAGTACATACATACATACAAACGTTCAGCAACATGCATACTGACAAACATATGAACCAAATCCTAGAAACTAGGTCCATCGCATCAAATCCTAACATAACAAGCACTTTGAGACCCTCATAGCTTCAATTAAGCATAAATCATCAATCAAATTCAACCAAAAAGACGTGTGGGTTGGTATGGGATGAACTAAACAAATTAAAAAGTCAACATCATTAAAAAAGTAAAAAGTCACGGAAGTATAAAAAATAAAAATAAAAATAAAAAGTCAACAACTCTCTTTTCGTCTATTTTTTAGACGTTTTTTCATTAAAAAAAATCATCAAATACTCAAGTGGACCAAAGCAATAGGATGCATATATATATATACCTGCAGAGGAAGCGACTAAGAGAATACGACAGGGAGAGCCGTTGAGGGAGAGTCGTTCGCAGACTGAGAGGAGAGGACGTCACGGACTTCAGAGGATCCGGGGAGAGAAGGCCTGCTGGTGGATCCGAGAGTCCAGCTTTATGCCATCGCTGCTCTCAATTGTGCCACTTTCTCTCAACATCCAATCACCAAGGAGTTACTGGGCCTTTTCCCAAAATACACCAACCTACTAAGCCTATTCCCAATCTAATCCTAGTATGGCCGAAATTTTCAGAATAAGCTGAAGCGTGTTTTCAAAACATGTTTTCAGTATGTTTTTGGCCTAAGCGTATAAAATGAATAAAATCATAAAAACGTAGTTACAAAACATGCTTTTAATTAAGAAAACGTTATTCCTATTATCGTTTTCATATTTAGTGAAAGCATGTTTTAGAATCGCGCTTTCAATAGAAAGCATGGTTAGAAACTACGCTTTTAAAAAAAAATTGCTTTTAAAAGAAATTGTGCTTCGTAACCACGCTTTTAAAAGTTATATAAAATGGCTCACCCCCTTATTTGCAACCATTCTTTTTATACGCTTCGTTTTTTTTTCCCTGAACAAGTCTCCCTCTGTTCTCCCTCTGCTCTCACTCTCTCTCTTCGTGGGTTCTCTGCTCTCACACTCTCTCTCTCTCTCACTGGTATGTGAACTGTCTGTCTCTCTCTTTCTCAGTTTGAATTTTATGTGTTGATTTTGTTTCTGAAAATGTAAATATGGGTACAATGTGGGTAGAATAGGGTTTGTGAATGTGAAAATGTTGTGAATTGATGAAAATGTTGGTAGAATAGGGTTTGTGAATGTGAAAATGTTGTGAATTGAAATTGATATCAATGTGAGTAGAATAGAGTTTGTGAATTGAAATTGTGGTTTTGAATTCACATAATAAACCGTAGCCCTAGCCCTAGCCCCCTAACCCAATTCTGGGGTTTCAAATTGAACCCAAGCCCTAACCCAAAGTTTGTAATGCAAATTGAACCCTAACCCTAACCCAATTCTAGGGTTTTCAATTGAATTTGAATTTACAAATTAGGATTAGGGTTTTTTTATTTTTTAGTTCACAATTGAATTCTAGGATTTTTATTTTTTGATTTTCAGACAAATGTTCACAAAAATAATAAAAAATAAAAAATTTAAACTCTCTTAAAACAGATAATAAGAATCTTATAAAAATTGTAAATTCTGTATAAAAATGAGTGCAACAGAGAATGAATAATTCTTTTAAACTCTCTTAAAGATTTTTATTTTTATTTTTTATATTTATTAGTATTGTTTGAACATAATTACTAAAATTTGCTTATACGAATTAAGATATTAAGGAATCATTTCAAGAACTCAAAAAGATAAAAATAAATAAATAAATGATCTTGTTACTTCATAGTTTATCAAAATTCAGTACACAATTTTTTTAAAATATAAAATTATATGAAAAACAATAATTTAAATGCAACAAAATTTCACTTAAATCTTACTTTTCTTATATTTTTAATTGCAAAGTTACTAATTAAACTTATATAATGAAGCTTATCTATTATATCCTTTTCAATGGATAATATAATAAACTGCAAAATTACTAATTAAATATTACTCTTTTTAATTTTTTTTGTTTGGTTTCTTGCTGAATTAAAAATAATAATTTTGGGCCTTTTGGATTTGGACTCCATTTGAGTGAGGCTTATTAAGAATATTTTAATTTTGAACTTAGTATAAAATGTATAAATTTTTTGGATCCCAATTTTTACATAATTTTGAATTTAAACTTTTTGTTTTAAAATGATAGACTCAAAATTAAGAATGATAATGGGGCAGGCCAATATA